AAAAAAAAAAAAAAAAAAAAAAAAAAAAAAAAAAAAAAGAAAAAGAATGTATTGATTTAACTCCTTTTCGATATCCAATAACGTCGACGTCTACGTTAAATACATGCCTACAGTAATAAGTTTGTTAGTTATGTTCATCTTCTACTTTCCGATGTAAACTTTGCATATTTACATAATAATGAGCGAGAGGAAGAGAAAAGGAGAGAAACGACGCAAACTTTTTAAGCGATTACAGTCTTCTTGTGATTCTATCTCGATGCGTGAAACGAGCACCGTTTCAAGGGTGGCGGGGAGGGGGGAGGGGCAGTGAAATATTTCACGATTCTTCGCTCCCCGTATTATTTCAATAGAGGAGGGGTGAGAGAAAATTCAAAATTCATTTCTGCTCGTCGCGAAAAAACGTGATCCTGCACACCCGGCGGCGGCGGCGGCCTTCAATTGAATGAAATAAAAAGGCTCGGAGGCGAGTGAAGTGAAGAGGGAAAGAGGGAAAGGGAGCAAAAAGAATAAAAAAAAAAAAAGAAAAAAGAAAAAAAAAATAAATTTCGCGGCGGCAGCGACGTGGCAAATCATGTTCTAGCGGGCCACCAGCAAATATCCACCCATTCGCCCGCAGCGAACTCCTTTCGCCCAATACCGTCGTTCCTCGTAAACTCGTCCTACCGCGTCCCGAAAACTCGTTTGAATCGATCCATTCGGAATTCCACGAACCGGGTACATCGTTCCCGTCCCTCGCGGCAGACCTTCTACTTTGATTGGCAATGTTTAGAAGATGGCGTCGCACACACACACACGACGCACGCACGCGAATTTTAAGATCGTTCCGTGAAACTTGTGAACCCGTTTCTTGACGAGCGCACGATACACTAAAATATAGGTACTTGAAACGACAGGATATGTATTAACAACTTTTACGTACTTTTTCCTTGAAATTTTTCTGACTGTTTTGTTCTTTTTTTTCTTTTTAAGATAAATATGGTTAAATGGATGAAACTTGCGTGCAGTTAGTTTGAAATTTAAAAGAACGTTTTTGATATTTTTCTAAGGCAGTTTAGAAGAGATTTCTCGTAACAAAATTTCGGTGGTAGCTTGCAGAATATGTTTCGAATTTAAATATTTGAACTTTTGTTCGATCGATCGTAAGAGATGGCTGTTACAAAATGTTTCTCGATAGAAATGTTCAAAGTCTGAAAAGTTTAGAAAATCGACCTGAAAAGAGAATCGTTTTCGCATTGGTTTCGCAGGAAATTATCGACTAACTCAACAAAAAAAAAGTCTTATTTCAACGGAACACTCGATGATGTCTCTCGAGATGGAAATTTCAGAAAGTTACTTTAACGTTTTGAAGAAGTCGACTGAAGAGAAAGGGGCTCTCTCGACTCGACTCGAATCATTTTCTTGATCAATTGCAAGAAAGGATATTTCTATCGAGAGGTCCTTCGAACTAACTCGAGGAAAGTTTTCAGAACTGTACGATTCAGGATGGTAGTCTTGCAGAATTTCAGACGACCGGCTGAAAGAAAACGAAAAACATAGGTCCGTAACTTCTTCCTGAAAAAGGGGAAAAGAATAATAATTTCAATCGCGCAACGGTTCACGAAAGACCGCGGAAATTAAAAATTCCATAACGCAAGGAGAAAAGAATAATTTTTCCAACAACTGCGCGTGCGTGCGTGTGTGTGTGTGTGTGTGAAACGTCCACTTGCGAGAAGCAAAAGTGAAGAAGATTCTTCTGGACCTGTCTTTGAAGAGGGCGCGGTTGAGTTTCTCCTAAAAGACAAAGACGGCAAGGTTGATTGGATCGAGGAACATCGGCCGGCCATCGCGGCGTCGTCACACGAGGGATTCTCCGGTCTCTGGCTACCGCCATAGATGATAATCGGGCAGTGGCGGCGGCGGTATCGCGCGGCACGGCGTGGCGAAACTCGTGCGAGTATCCAAGGTATAGGTGGAAAAGCGAGGAACAACCAATCAGAGGGCAACCTCCCTGGGGACGCGACGTTGCCATGGTTGCGTTCGAACCCTCTTAGGCCGTCTGTGCTGGATCCCTCACGGCTTGCTCGGGATACACGGATCGCGTGCGGCGTGCCGTGGTGTTTCGTAGCCCGTGGCACACGGCCGTGGACCACCATGTCCTGGCTCCGCTGCCACTACGCTTTTGCTTTTGCCTTTGCTTTCTTCTCTCCTCTCCTGCACGTTGCTCTCTGCTACCCTCCTCTCTCGTTATCCTCGTATCCCCGTTCGTTCTCCTCGTTTCTATCCCTTGTCCATCCAACACGACGTTTCATCACAGCCGTCCCGCACACGCCGCTCGTCCAATCCTTCCTTTACTCTTCTTTCTCGTTTATCTCTCTCTTCTTCTTGCTTCTCTTTTCTGCTCTCCATC